GGAAGCAAAAATGCCGAAAAGAGTCGTTGATAGGAATCGAAGGACGAAGGCTATTTACCAAACCATCGTGCAAACCGCGTTGGGGAAAAAATTTCCGCAGAATTTCTGCCGTGGCTATCAAGTCGATCTCTTTCTTTCTCTTTTTTTTTTTTTTTTTTTCATCCGATCCAATGTGAAAATCCGAGCGTGGCAGAATTTCGGCGAAGCCGCGAGTCGACTTACAGCCAATAAATTTACTTCCCAGGGAGTAACCGTGACAAGGATAATGCATTCGACTGGCGGCACGTTTCGCGATACGTTCCAGCCCGATCCACGAATTACGTTGGGGGTAACTTCATCGTGCATTAATGCGATGCGTTACAGAGTTGCTCGAGACGGTCTCGTCTCTCGCCGCGAGGAGCGCCTTTTAAGGCGAAAATACGATGCAACGATCGACTTACATTAGTCGTATAGTCTCCTACCTCCGGTACATATGGCGCATAAATTTCCGCCACAGCCACAAGCCGTACGACGTGAACCGTAAACACGATCGATAGTGCAAAAGTGTATCTTTCCACGAACAATTGACAGCCTAACTTTCGCGATAGGAATCGATGGTGATTTTCTGCGGGAGGGGGAAATTCTGGAAAGAAATTTCTCGAGCAGAAAGCTTGAAGAGTCGTGGGGAATTCTGGTATTCTGAGATTGAGATACGAACGAGTCATCGTCGTTAGTGAATGTTCGTGCAAATTCGTAGATAAGAAAAATGGAAGATATACAAAGATTTGTTTCAATCAAGAGTATTATAATGAATATTATAATTTGCGTATTTTGGTATTTTATATTGTTCCTATGAATTTAAATGTTTTATAAGTACACGAACGTTCGCGTTTTTTAATTTTCTATTAAAAATAACTTAGGCCATTTCTTGCAGATGTCTTCCGACTGTAAAGGTAAACAATATTTTCATCAAACGCACGGTTGGACAAATTTTAAATAAAGATGAAAAATAACAATGAATCATTAATTTATTATTTTTATTTGAAAAATAACTTAGTATGACTAACTTTATCTTAGATCCAAATCAGATCTAAATCATTTGAGAATGATTTTTCATTTGAATTAATTGATTGAAACGAAACAATAAATAATCTTAACAGAAGATAAAGTTTATGCAACGGAATTAGAAATTATTCGAAAAATGATTTGAAGAAACAGATACAAAGTGCAAAATGAAGTAAAAAATTATTTTATTTTGACAATTAAATAATTAAGTAATTTTCGAATACTTATGTTTCTAACAGAGGGAGTATAGTGCGAATGTTCAGACACTTATAGGAAATTTCAAAGTCTACAAATAGTAGAATAATGTGTAAAAATATATAAAACATTCATACTAATCTCTTTTCAATTCTATTGAAAATCCAAGATTGTATAGGCTTCCGCAGTCTAACAATGACTAAACATTTCCAAGTCGAAGATTTTCACGATAAAATGCTCTATTTGCATGACACAGACTGTTTTTGATTGTCCTTTTAATGAGAAGTGACTTCTGAGCTCTCCATATATCCACTCTAACTATAGACGCAAAACCTCTATTTGTAACTCGATAAAGGAGTTCAGATATACTGCGGGTAAACGTTGGTATCTGCGAAAATAGAGCCCTATTTCTGGTATATATCTGTGACGAATAAATTTCTACCGCAGCTACCAACTGTATAACGTGGCACGTAAATACGACCGATAGCATGAAGAGTATCTCCGACGAACAAATACGTATGAGGTTCAAACGAGAATATCGAGAATATTGTGGAGCTTTGGAAATGCTTGGTGAAAAGCCTGGTACTCTGAAAATGAGATTCATTCCATCATCGACGGAGACAATGTATTTATCATTAGTAAAGACTGTGAATGATCATGCATTTAGAATTTTACAAACGCAACTAGCAAAATAAATGGCCTAAATGAATGAGCGCTTAAGTTCGCATATTATCTGTTAAAATTAGTATTTACAAACACAATTCTAGCAACGTCTGTTAATTATAGCCTCCATTGAACGTCCAGTTTTCGTTAAATTTAGCGAAATGAATGAACGTAAGTTCATTCGTGTAAGTATAATAGTGCTAGAATCAGAACAACGACTAAAAGAATCGTGAAGTTATGAAGTCACGATTGAATTATATTTCTAGAATTGTTCAATTCTCACTTGGAAATAAATCAAGACGCAGTCCTTCATCACACTGAGAATCATCATATTCCGAACACTATTATTACTTAACTTTCAAGTGGAGTTCCAACTTTAGCTGCAACATTGCAAATATAACGAGAGAAAGAGGACTGTGTGAATCTTCAAATAATGACAGAAACTCATAGTTGATCTCAAAATTAAATGATCAATTTAATAAATGAGGCAACTCCGGCGATCCTCCACTTATGAGCCAAAAAGTAAAAAAAATTGACAACTATATTCTATCCTCGCAATTAACTAAGTCCGTAATAGTTCGATAAGGAAGTTTAGATGAACGATACTCACGAAAAATGAGCTACCCTTTCGAAACGACAGGGATCTGGCTGGTCTAGCCGCGGCCACGAGTTCGCCCGCGGTAACGAGGGTGAAACAGAGAATGCAGAACAGCAGTCGCATAATCAGTGAACGTCGGGCCCTGGGCCAAGATGTCCTCGCGAAACTTCCCGTTTGCAGCCTGCGCCGAACTACTCTCGCCTGTCTAGGGATCTTCGTCTCTGATGGAATCGAGTCGCTTACTCGGTAGACAGCGTTGCCCTGGGTTATTGATAACGGTGCTTTGCCCCACCACCGATCCAGACATTCGCCACTTTTTCGCCCTATTCGCAAGATGGAGGTCCTTGGCTCCGTCTCTCTTGCCAAGCCGACCTTACGAGGCTCGCTCATTTCGCGGGGGCCCATTGTTAAAGCAGAAGTATTCATGAATATTTAGTTAGTTTTAGGGAAAGGGATTCGTCTTAATATTGAAATGTACGACGCCGGCCAATCGTGTAGAACACGGAGGGCATTGAATTTCCTGGCACGGCATTCCAAACACGAATTCTACAACTGTCCCCCCCCCCCCCCCCCACTGATGAATTATTAGACAGCTTCCAACACTAATGGAACTTATGTTCCTCTTTGCTTCATAGAGAAACCTCGGCTTGAAGTAGTGGTAGAAGTGCCGGTAGTTGAATCAGTTCAATCTTCTACCAGCGAGACTCGGATTATCACGGTTATACGTTGTGATCGAGTTTCGGACAAATCTAAAAGCGTACAGGATAGTCGCGAATTTATTAGCGTTTTTCTCGTGAACGGTACGTGAAAACGAAAAAGGAAAAAGTAGTATTCTTTTTCCTTTTCTTTCCTGAGCAAAATGTATGCATTTTTTTTTTTTTTTTTTACAGATGAATGTCAATTTTTTAAAATAAAATTTTTAAAATTCTACATATTTAAAATTCTATATTACATAAAGTTAAAGTTAATTGAATTTTTATGAAATAGCAACTTTTTGTACAAAACGTTGACAGCAAACTTATACGAATATTAAATCCAATAAACTGTACGTGATGATTTGCGAAAAGAACAGAAATGCAACGGTTTAACTTGCTAATTTCGTACCTCTGCCAATCTTTTATTACTGTTCTGCGCATCATTCATCTCCATATCGCACGGTTTTCATCTCGTATAAATAGGTAATTTAAAATTAAAATAATTTGCCCGATTGGGGGCCAATTAATCGCGCGAAGCAATTAATGCCAGTCATATTCAGTGAACGTACGCACATGCATAACCTTGTTTAAACGACGCTGAAATCGTGTTAAATCTCCGTTGGAAAGAACTCTGTCTGTTGCGTGTATCCGAAACAACCGTTTGTTCAATAATAAATTATTTTGCACCGGTAAGCGCTCACCTACCTTGCTCGCTCGTCTTGCAAACCTATTTATGAACCTAATCTCGGAGCTATATAAAATACAGGCTCACGCACTTCCCTCCCCTTTTCCCTACCGTTCTCTTTTTATTTCTTTCTTTTCTTTTTATTCCATTTTTTTTTTTTCTTCTTTTTACCCTTGCTCGCACTGATTAATCTTTCGTTTAATACGAAAGGAAATCCATGGAGCGAGCAACACGGGAAAAAAATGAAAGATTAAACGATGGACGAAAGGGCGGGGAGAGGCAAGTGTATATCGAGAGAGATCAAAGAGAGCCGCGTTTGATAAACGGACCTCCGAGCTGAAATTATTTTACGCGCAGCGTCTTTAATTAACGGGAAATTTGCGATAAAAGTTATATCGTGGCAACTCGTTTATTTCATCCCTGACACGGATCGCCGCGTCGCCGATGCAACGTATTATATAAGGGCAAACGTGGCGAGGAAGATTCGTTCGCGGTGTAAAGAAGAGAGAGAACTGACGTAACCCCGTGCACGAGGGATGTAACTGGGTCGGGAAAGAAAGCGGAGGCAGTAAAGTATGCGATAAAATGGATAATAAAATGTCTAATAATAAAACGCGATATATCTTGTCGTTGAGCGATGAAAACTGATCTAATTGATCCTTCATACTCTCTGTCGCGTAGTTTGCGCCGAATAAATGTCATTCAGAACTGTTGGAGGGATGTTTTATAACTGTCCAAAACAGTTGACAATGAATAATTATAGGATTCGAACGATTATTTAGGCGTGATGTATGACACGTGATTGTTAAATATCGAAATATCTTTTACTGTGTTCAAATCCTGAATTAATTCGCTGGCTGAATACCGAAGATGAGTTTTATAAGACTTTGCAGTTTAATTTTCTTACTAAATTTCACTTGACGTAACTTGATTAATTTGCGAATTTTTATACGTTTATTATATTTCTATGAATATGCGAAATCTAGATAGAAATTTATTTTATTTATGATACGTTGCAGTGTTTTATTGTCTGTATTTCAAATATTTTTCCATTAAATATTCTTTCATAAATTCATAAAAATCCGCAGTTTGGCAATGATGGGAAATAAAATACTTTGTATTGCTTTGAGATCAGTTGAAGATGTAAAGCATAAACTCTATGTAATTATCTATAGAATTCTTCATGCTCTATAATACAATAACATGTCAAACAAAATTATCCATAATTCTTGGTAAGAATGGACTATAAGCAAAAAAGTACGAATCTTATTGTTAATTAATAAACTGAGGATATTCTATCTAAAATTCCCAGGCCAGCAGGACACAATGAATAAATTATTGAGCAATTCTCGTGTTTTCTTCCAGCCATAGCTGCTTCTAAATATTCCTTGTCTATCGTGAGATTATCCCCATAGTCGGGCCTGAAAAAATATTTCAATTAGTTCATATCCATATAATTGTAATTTAAACGCGTCCAACATTTTTTTAAAAAAGAGAATTTTAAATTTTATTTCGTGATTCTTCTCACGTTGTTCACGTCGAACATTAATCTTCCGTTTAAACGGTTTGAATAATAAATAAATCACAAATTAAATCATATGACAATTTGTATAATAATAAATCAAATATGTAATGCAATGAACGAACAACACACTAAATACATAATATAGAATAAATAAATAATAAATTGAACAAAAGTTTTGAATTAATATAATCAATTTATATCCTAAATACATTACTTTGATTAATAAATTGAGCAATATAGTAACATAATAAATAAATTGAACGTGTAAATGTAATAAACAAGAGAATAAGTAACCAATAAATTGAACAGAAATTTCAATCAATATTTCAATTAATTTTAATTCATCTTTAATAATTATTAATTCTACGTAGACAGCGAATTACATTCCTTTTCTCATTATAATTATACTATAATTGGGTTAAACAAGAATGAACTTCGCGTGTTTTCAAATTACCGGAGAATTGTTATAATCAAAGTATCTTACGTCAATAATAAATGCAGTAACTCGCCAACCAAACCCTCGTCTTTCAACGGCGTCGAAGCAGCTTCGCAAATATCCTTCATCAAGCAAGCTTTTCCATCGATGTTTCGCCTGAAAACGATCGGCAACAATTAGTAACAAATAGAAAGACGAGCACCAAAAAGTATCAACAAACATTTACGTTTAATATTTCAACAATTAAACTTACGCATTACACGTCGATGAAATATTAACAGTCTTTGAATTATTCGTGCGTTATTTGTTAAAACTGCAACGACAATACGTAATTAATTTCACTCGGAAGAACCATGTGAATTAACTATTAACTACCAGATATCAATCACGATGCGGTACAAACGCGGCGAAATGATTTGTAAACGTATCGATTCGTCGACTATTTAGAACTGGTGAATTTCACATACGGTGAATTATTAATTGATCGTAATAACAAAATCGCGCCACTATGAATCACCGATTCGTCAATATACGTGTGTATTTCAATCGTCACCGATTATTCATTTATCCGACGTGAAACGAAAGTAAATCGAGAATTTCACACGGACGACTTTGCTTTGAAAAATAAAGTATAAGCATAAAATAAAATTTTATGTTCTATTTGCCGTTAATGACAGGTAATACTTCTCAATAAGTAATTCGTCAATATTTTCAAACATTTGCCGTAACGAAGAACATAATTTATGAAACTTTTCAAAATTTATTTTCGACTTTGCGTCATCTATTTTATAAATATGACGACGATTTCATACTTATTTATTTACGTTGCTCGTTTATTTTTATCTACTTGGTTATTTATTTTTAACTAGAACTGGAGACGACGACACACACGGAAATATCAAAAAAGACGAAGAAGAAAATTCAACAAAATTTATTTATACTAGTGCGTTAATAAATAAATATAAGAAACATTGTCGCGTATTCAGAATCTGTGTAATTTTAACTGGCAAATAAATTGGCTTGTAAAATGTTTGAAATTCTTGTTTCTCTTTAAATATTTGAAATTTGCTAGAAACGTATCGATAACTATACGTACATGGAATCAATTAACAACACTTTTCTCTATCTGATTTTCACGTTCCTCGTTTTGCGGCAAATGAATAAAACGAAGTATAACTATCCAGTGGAAATTTCGTGTCTCCTTTGGTACAGATGCTGACAGAAAGAAGTAACGTGAGCCTCTAACCATACAAAGTAATTTATTTATTCAATGATCCACTGCAGAATAACGTGGAATAGAATAATAGAGCGTAGAATGTACTCACATGTCTAATTCTCGCTGCAGAATATCGTATACGAAAGCCCTTTCGTTCCAGCTTGCTCTCTTACGTCGTGACGAGTTCTCGAAATAGTTGGTGAAGAAAGTCGCGTTCTCTGGCAACGGGTATTGGAACTGAAGGTTTTGGCCGTAAACCAAAATCTGGCCCGAGAGTTGCACCGGAACCCCCAAGCCTAGGACTAGCTTGACAGAAATGCAATGAACGTACGAGTGTAAGGGCGCTCGATGTATGACGAATCCAGTTCGTGGAAATTTACATCGTTTCACGGGGATGAAGCTTTCGTACGAAGCAACTTTGTCCCAATACTTAACTTGCAGTAACGTGCAGGGTTGAAGTGTAAGGCAAATTGTATGCACATACGTGTACAGCCCTTGGTCATTCAATTAGAGTCACATCGAATTTTCATTGTTTTGCACGTTTCTGACAAAATTGAAAGATTCGGGGGAAACGTGAACTCTATTAATGCTGTTCACAAAAGAGTTTCATGTAAGAAATAAAAATATGTATAATACGTGGATGGACAAACAAATACCACATACAATGAATGAAAAGTTAAATAAAGGATAAATGTTTTCTTTTTTTTTTTTATTAAATTAAAAAATATCAGAACAAAGAAAAAGAATAAATCTGACCTAACCCAAAATTTTTAAATATTCGAGCTCGATTTCTGGCTCTTGGATTTTTCTATGGATCTTATGCCAAATTAATATTAAAACGCACAAAAATATATGAAATATTTAAAATAGAACACCATCTCATAATCTTCCAATAGACAAAACAAATTTCTATTCTTTTAATTACGTCTGTGAAACTGCAAATTAAAAATCCACAGCCTAGTTTCAAGTACAATTCGCGTCGAACTATTAAAATTCAAAGTACTCTCGCTTTACTATCTCATTGTTAATTCTCCGTATAATTTTAATTTCTCCGTGATAAAGTAAAATTCCAATTTCGTTTAAACAATAATTCCAGAATTAAATAACTCAACTCTGAATTGTTATATCCTCAATGATATCGGTTAAACGCCGCAACGATATCAGCGAGCATCGCGTAATTATCATTGAACTTTTCGTTAGCTTTTCGACGGCGTTAAACGCGCCGCGTGAACATTTGTTTATTTAAGAGATGCGAGTAATTAAATCGTTCAGTTTAATACCATTAGAATGCGCGAGTGAATATAGCGGTAGAATTAGCAACATTATGAAACAGTAATAACGTGCATTATAATCACTGTGTCTGTCTGTCTGTGTATGTGTGTGTGTGTATGCATGGCAACTTCATCAGTCGGGAGAAGTGGAGTAAAAAAAAAAAGAAAAAACGAAGAGAAGCTGATAGAAAGTACAAGCTATGGGGATGAAATAAAGTCGAACAAAAGGAAGGAGTGCGGAAAACGGGGGAAAAAATTGCAGCGCTGCTCGCGGTTTCTTTTCGCCGTTCGTGGGAGAGAATTTCGCAGCGAGGCCTAGGCCCTCTCGTATCTCAACTTTTGGAATACTGCTTAACCCTTATTCGTTTCCAAAGAAAGATATATTACGGCGTCGGTGGAATTCCCTTTTCCTCTCTTTTCTCCTCTTGTTCCTCATTTCCCATTTCCCTCCCATTCGACCACCTTGTGTACGTACACAAGCCGCGCGTACACGGCGTTCGCTATATCACGCGCGTACATACATCTCTGACCGCGTGGAACTCCAGCTCCAGCGGTGGACGAGCGACGTCGTTTGTTGAAGATCACAGCTTACGACGCCTTGTTCATAAACATCGTGTCCTTGCAACAGCTGTCCCATTGAGTCGCGAAACGTGTCATTGAGACTCGTTGCGCGACACGATTCAAAGCTCGCGGCTCGTGCAAATGGATGTTAAATAAATTCAACTTGGTCTCATCTTTCTTTCTTCCTTTCTTTCTTTCTTTCTTTCTTTTCTTTCTCTTCCTCTTCCTTTTCGTCTCAGGCTCACGTTCAAAGGTCCGTGCACAAAAGCGACTCGACGCGTGCTGAAACTTTCGTAATTGTCCTGCTGATAAGATACCGGGGGGCTTCAGCGCGAGGTCCGCGAGCCCCTCGCCGACCGAGCGAAGACATGCAAGTAATTCAACGTCGTCGCCGACCTCTTCTTTGCAGGTCTCTTCACTGTTTTTTCCCTTCCACCCTCTTCTCACTTTGAAACTGCGCTTTTGACGCAGTGCAGCTTCGCGTGTTTAGATACATACTGACCCAGAAACGGTGAATTTTATTTCACGCGCCAGTTTCCCGCCTCCTCAAGGCGAACATCTCAAATATTTGCTATCGTCGTTTCCTGTTGCTTGGAAAAATCTGCTAATCAAACACTCAACGCTGCGCGGCTGTGTTCCAGACTGTGACGCGACGTGGGAATCGGCTCCTTTCGGGAATTCTTAACGAGTAACTGCGCAGCGACCTGTAGCCAGTCAAACGTTTTTTCCAAATCTAAAATATACACGTAAGTGCTCTGTATAAACAACGAAAATATTCGACTTTGTCGAGCAACCAGGTTAACCGGGTATTTCGAGCATCCTACTTCAAAATGTACGAAAAATGTTCATCGCTCACGGTTATTCTCGTTATTTATTCCCTCGATATTCTTAAGTTTCCTTCCTCGTAATTAGACTGCAGATTTTTATTTGCGTGGAATCTAAAGATGTAGAAATCTGAAGAATGCACATAATGCACGCAGAGACAAAAGTAAAATATCGAAATACCTGTTATGATGTTTGGTAAATTTCTCCTTAGGCTTCCTTTCTTTATTTGTTTCGAGAAAAATAGAAAAATTGCAAAAGATCCGCGTTTAATCACATGAAGTACACTTTGAAGTTCTGTATTTCATTGAAACTATGTTTGGATTACACAGTAATGTTGAAAAGTACTTTTTCATATTTTGTAATATACACTGGGACGTATAAACAATTGGACACTTGATGCAATTCCATTAAAAGCTTGGTAATTTTCCGTATTATCAAATTTTCAATAAATATTGTTCATAAAACGTAAATCAACGTAACCCTCTCCTCACTAAGAAGACGAAAGACCTCCGAATGAAACACAGAAATGATGTCTGAATTTCAGAGAACCAATCATCTAGACAGGAATTAAAATACACGCGACTCGACTTCGACCGAGCTTAAAGACGAGGAAGCGCTCTGTATCGATTCCCCCGTGATTTCATTTGGCGCGCGAGGAAAAAAATTCCGTCTCCCATCGGCGAGGCCGATGCAAGTAATTGAATAAGCCACGGCAAACAATCCGTCCAGGACATTTGCACGACCGGGGGAGGAATGAAAACTGCGGAAAGAGGTTTTTCCCGATTTAATTAGAAAATTTGAGAGGGGAGACGGCTGCAGATAAGGCTGCAGTTAATTATCAACGGAACGGAGGATGGGATAAGGCGAGACGTTTCCCTCGGTTTAAAGTTCTCCACCCTTCTCCGCTACTTCCAGCAGGACGAACACGTCCATACCTAAGTCCTGGCCGCCCAGGGCTCGCGTTGAGATTCGGTTCAGTTTGTATTCCGTTTCCGCCGTCGCCGCCGATTCCTATCCTGTCCACGAACAAACCCCTCGAGAAGCCGATCCAACGGCCGACTAATTAATTCGTACCTGACGACGACTCCGACAACTCCGTGATGTTAATTGCGAAAAGGAAAACAGCCATCAATTCAGAGGTGGGGAGGGGGGATTCGAGGCTGTTCCTTTCTCGCGTTTTTCTTTCTGGGGGGAATATTTCTGTTCGCGGGATGATTTGGGAAAGTTACGAACTCGCCTCGTAATTCCATCGATTTCTTCACGGTTCATGAAATAAAGAGGACGCGTTTTATTATAATATGCCTCGTGCCGTGACTTCTCGTTCTTCCTCGCCCTCGAGAAACTTCAATGTTCAGGATTAATCGCGGATCAACTCGGTGGAAAAGTGATAAAACAATTAATATCGAAATGGAGGTCTGTATATATGCAAATATTATCAATCATATTTATCAGGTTACCTCGAACACGCAAAAGTACGCGCGTGATTTCTGTCGACAATGAATCCAATCACGGAGAGACGCGATTTTTGAGACGGAAATTTTATTAAACGATATAACTAGTTCGCTGGTCTCTCGATATTCTGTAAGAGAATAAATTTACACTTGCTTGTAATTATTTCGTTTAATACTATACGCAGAATATTTCGTTATAACTGAGAATTTTTTGTATAATTAATATAATTGAAGAAACGAAACCCAACTGGAAATTTGCTACTAAGCAAACTTTAGCAAAATAATTGTTCATTACTATGTATATAAATGTGCTAAAATATCTTTGAATCCTCCTCTTTATTGTAAGCGAAACTTTGAGAAAAAAGTGAATATGCAAAACAAGTTGTAATGTTTCTTTGATACATAGACGCATATTATATTTATATGTTTTTACATTTACATATATCTAGATTTTAAAAAGATATTTCAACTTTAATTAGCATAATCTCGGAAACGAAAGAACACGGAAGGCGTCGCAAAATTTCGAGAACTATTCAGAAAACTAGAGAAATTCAAACGTGCAGGATCTACGAGCGTTTAGCTTTTAAAAAGAACAAAAAAAACATCGTACACCACGCTGCGTTTTTTTTTTTTTTTTCTCTTTCATCACGCCCTGCAACGCGTGAATTATTTCTCCATCGTTATCATCGCGCGCGTGAACGGCCTACTCGAGATCTGATTATCAATGGCCCTCGATGAATTATTCCCTGGAAGCTTATCGCGAGCCGCCGTTCGTTCCTCGCCGGGCGCGAAAGACGTTATTCAAATTAGCGCGAGTTAAATCGTCGAACGAGCAGCACCGCCTTCAAACCAAGTAATCCCATCAGCCTCGGAGGGAACGAGATTATCAAGTTTTATCGCTGCCACGTCGAAGTATGAATAAATACCTTGAAAGTGCCACCGGTAGGATAAACAAGAGGCGGGGGGTACAACGCTTGTCTCTTCTCGCGAAGTTGCTCGTCTTCGTTACCCTGGATCCGCGCCATTGTCGACAGAAGCAACAAAGACAACCTCCAGTCCACGAGCATCATCGTCCGTTATTTATTTCGCTTCCCGTCTGGCAAGTTGATTCCTTTGTTCGAGAGAAAACAGAAGATTAACTGCTACAATAATTCCTTCAGCCTCGCACGTATGAGACGACGGCCATTTCTTTGTCTCTTCCGGCCGTACGCGAACGAAAATGATCCCACTATCTCGTTAATGAAAGTAAAATATGAAGAGAGTTAGTAAGCCGAGTGTTCCACGTGTTCGAGTAAGCGCAAGTTCTGCCTCACTGGTTTACTATAAAAATAGTTTGCCTCCTCTTTTATTATTATTTTATTCTGTTACCTTGTGTATTTGTATAAAAAATGAAATAACACTGGAAGGTACATACATAAACGCAGAGTTTCTCAACATGTTGGAGATTCCTGATACCTGACTTTTTAAAAGCTAAATCTTTATTTATTTCAATTGTAAAACAGTATAAATACAGTATGTACACGCGTATGTATCATCTATAACATTTGAATGACTTACGTTTCATCAGATCTTCAATTATATTTATACCGATTGCGAGAATTTATAAAAATTGCAAATAACACATAAGAAATTCGTCGTCTAAAGGATCGATGAATGCGTCCATCTATAATAGATCGTTCAAACTGGTCACGTGTGGCGTTTATCGTTTGAGATTCGTTCGGGAATCTTGCCACGCGCAAGTTTACTCACCCAGAAAGATGAAAGAACCTTCTATCCGAATCTCAAAGGCAATTTCGCCCTTCCGGGCGGAGCACAAAGACACGCAACTAGTCAGGGAAACTCGCGAGCCCGAAGTCAGCCGAGTCGTCAGGCTTCTCCAAGTTGCAGCTCCTCTGCGAAATTAACGTGTCATCCGTCAACTCGAGGCATAGTTGACGCTCGAAGCTTCCGTGGCTGACTGTAGCCACTCGAACGAGTTAATTTTCCACTCCCTCTAGACAACCGTCTCGGCTATTCCTTTCCTCTTCGTCCTTCGAACTCGTTCTCGACGACTAGTTCTCGATTCGTTAATGAAAAAGACAAACGCTGTGATCCTTTTTGACCGGCTGAGTCTTCCGGTCGTTCACCAGTCTCGACCAGTCGAATTAGCACCACTCGTGCTTTCCAGAAGCTTTTAATAATCTAATAATTAGTTTTATTAACTGTTAAAGCGCACACATACACATGTCATATAGCATGAAGTTTGTCTTTTCGTTTTGCTTTTTTCTTTCGAACTTTTTACTAACACGAATAGTGACACGCTTTTAAAAGATTCAAATGACTTTTATAAACCGACGAGTGATCAAATCGAGAGTCTATGATTTTGGACATGTATTAAAACGAATTAAAAATCTACATTGTCAACACATATTTATAAAATTTGTTATACGAGGTATGTTTGTGCTTCATGGCTGCATAGATTTTTACACAATTAAGGTTATTAATTATCAAATATTTCCTGAATAATATCTCGATATATTTATTTTAATTAATATTTTTTTTGTACAGAGAATGTCGAGATGCATCGATTAATGAAAGGAAATACATATTATTCATAGAAGTAACCTTGAAATCTTCGAAATCCTTACATTTATGGAAAAATCATTATTGCCCCTTCTATAACTTTCGTTAATAAAATTCTCTCATATCTTCAAAAACAACGGAAATATTTGACAAGTGATTTATACCCTGTATAATTATCCATGTATTTACGAACATACGAATTTGTTTCTTATCCTATTGTCTTAGCAATAACAAGACCTATTTTTGTTGCGTACGTGAATGAAGAGAATCTCATTTTTGTGCATCGTAAAAGAATTCAAATCAAACATATAAGAATAGGAAAACGATTGATAATATAATAAATAACCTACAAAACTACAAAAATATCACTCAGGTAAATCTCTAAAAACATTGTTGCAAATCTAGAAAATTTCTATGAAAAATTATTGGAGATTGGTCATTTTGGCTATTTTAGTAGCGTCAAGTATTTTAATATATTATATTGTAATGTACATTAATTACGCGTGTATATACATACGCGAAGATCGAGATCTCTACCTCAAATAGTAAAATAGTAAATAGTAAAATTTTGCCACAGTGATTTGGAAATTACAACCGAAGGAAGAAAATGGATAATGAAAAATAGATGGGTGAACGTCCGAGCAGTTCGAACGAGTAGAACGGCGACTCCTAAGTAAGTAATGGCAAAAGAGAAGTTTCAACAAGAAGATCGCGTAGCCCAAACTTCCGCTTCCGGTGTAACAAAGGAACTGAAATATATAAACAAAAGAGGCAGACGATGAGTATTTTCCAGGCGGCAACATGCTGTCGGATATACTACTCGTGAACTGTAGAACTGTCGGGAAAGTTGTCGGGTCTACGTAGAGCAACTCTTGCTGAAATTCCTATCTTTCCAAGATCGTAAGAAGAAGCATCTCGCAAGAAGAAGGAACACCTTTCAACGACGACGTGCTCCAACGATGCAATCGCTATAGTAACTGAAAACTTGTTGCAAATTCTAATAACTTATTTGCAGATCTTCGTTAACTCCAGAATGGCAAAATAGAACAGGAAATAGAACGGGAAATTTCGAAAAATAATGTAAAATTATTTATTTAACATTTACGATAAAGCGATTAAGAGAATGCTCAGTTTGAACTTCTAAAAATGTATTATTGATCTTGCATTACAAAAAGAAAAAAAAAAAAACACGCGAATAAATATAAATGAATGGAAAGAAAAGAGATATGAATTATTGGATGCGTGCGTGCATGTACCTTCGTGTATTTTTTAATTAATAAAATTCATCGCTGAATCTTTATGTTCGCATCCGTGGTATTTTTGCCAAAAATTTTCAACGAGATACTGAAAGTCCGAGCGATTCCAATTCAACGTGAAACGTAATGCACCCACTCGTTGCAAAACGCATTACAAAAAGAATCGTAGCGTTCGAAATCAAGGATCGACCTAATCGACTTTTCTTGTAAAATCGGACAATGATGATTTTAGCATTGAATTAAAGTGATCGATAAGACCGGTCGACTCTCGCGATATCCTTTCGAGTAAACCGGACCAATTTCAGTCGGCGTTCGAAGCCACAGTGCAGAAGAGTATTGTAGAAGGAAAAATGGGCGAAGTCCTAAGTAAATTTCGCTGTTGAGGCTCGCTCTAAAATGGCCGGAAACGCGATATAAGACCCGAAGAAACGGTTTTCCTTTCCACAGGGGGGAACTTCCCTGGCCTCCATTTCTCTTTATTCGCACGACTGTTTGTCACCATTTTCTATCGTGCTTCATTTTATTCGCCAGCCTCGTCCTTTTCCCAAACGATTCTCGCTCGTTCTGTTTCGCGTTTGTCTTTCGACAGCGTTTTGTTTTCTCCGGCAAGTCTCGTGAAATCGTGTGCCTCTGTACCAACGAAACTCCGGTAATTTGTCGTTTAGCTTTCGGGAAATATTCCGCAGATATTTTAGCCAATTGTGAGAAACTTGCTTTTAATAATAAAATTATCATAATAAAAATAAATATATACAAAGATGAAATAGACCGAATAGGACCGAAACAAAAGGCCTTGGAACCATTCCTCTGTATTATAATATCAACCTTTCGACGACGATATTTGATGATATAGGTTTTCTGATTATTCTCGATAATTATATTAATAATAACAATTAAACGATCACGTGTTGGTGGATATACGTGCATATATATAATTATAAAACTTGATACTGCTGAAATAACTTCTGGTAAAAGTCATACGGGCATAGTTTACATCGTCTCTGGATGATTAATTAATTAATTATTGATGATTAAAATTAATTATTGTTTCTATAAATGTCTGCTAATTGTATCTGGTTGCCTAAACTAAAAGTGGACGTCAAAATTAATCTGAAGTATCTTCCGCAAGCCTGGAATAGTCTGGAAAAAAGGTTCAAATACTTATAAACGTTGATAGCAGGTTGATATCAGTATCGCGAAGAACTCCAGATATATTTTATTATACAAATTTGGAACAGTGTGATTCAGGTGTATAAACCGTAGTGCATGGCAGATTCATCAATGTCAAGAAATGTAAAGAAAACCCAGGTAACTTTTGAAATTTACATGAAATGAATCGAGTAGTATCTGGAACGCAACAATTATGAAAACTTCGTTACAAATTATGCCGCGCGAAGAAAGACGACAACGACGACGACGAGGTATAGAGCTTTCTAGGAGAACGTGGTAGATACGACAACGACAATTTACATAGTCAGTGGTCCGTCGTCGCCGTTCTATTTCGCCTCGTCGAAGCTCTGCACTGTAATAAATTCTTTTACGATGAAGTCACTGCGCTGTGTATCTCCTCGTAACGGCCTCGAAACATATAGAAATATCATTCCTCGAACAATGTATCGACTTCTTCGCGATATGGTGACGCTCTACGGCGGCTATAAAAAATTCAACAGATAGCTGGCAACCGTCGATGGCGGTTCGAGACGATAAACGATACGGGAATACGATCGGTTATCGACGGAATCACGAAATCAACACGGCTCGAGTTGTCGTTTCAAAAACGTCCCTCGTCCCTTAAGGGGTTGCAACCTCCGTGAACGCTTCGAGGGGTGACTCGATGCAATCGGGATAGGCCAAGATGCAGTCGCCTCCGGTTCTTCCCAATCGCTCCGCTTCCCAGTACAATTGGTCGACGCTCTGGTGATTGGAATTACCAGTCTCTGGCAAGTCTTCGCTCGGCCTGATTGAGAAATTCCCCCGTTTCACTTTGGCATGATTCTCGCATGGCGCGCGTTAAGGTAGAAGTAATCACGGATCATCGATCTTTCCTCTCAATCACAAACGCAAACGTTGTTTGATATACTCTCGTTCGAGTACTTGTAATTAGAGTGCACTTTTTCGTCTATTCGTATCTAAATGTTAACTATTACAAAAAAATTGTTTTCATGCACTTTGACTACTGTCACAACTTCATGAAAAAGAATTTAATATATTTGGCCCCATTTGAAAACGCAAACGTTTTTTACTTCAATCGTCCCGACGAATGTTACGATTTCTTCGATTTTCGTCGCTCGAGCTCAACATTCAAAGTTCGACAAAGCAGTCGAAACAATTTTTCATCGTCACGTTATACTTCCGTACTATCAATGTGCAAGACGACTGTGAACATTTCGCTTGTCTGCAAAAGTGTTGAAGAGAAAGAACAAGACGCGTAGAAAGGGGTGAAGAGCATCGAAGATCGATCAAAGGAAATTGCAGTTGTTCGAATGGTAAATAACAGCGGCTGCAGCCGCGGTGTTATTGACATTCGACAGGCGTTACCCGGCGATTGCTCCGCGGATGCTGCTGCAGGATTACGTCGGGAGAAATTTCCCAGTGACGTGTGTACACACCGAGGTACTGCACAAAGGGAAAACCTACGCGAAACACCTTCCATTAGAAGCTTAATGCACGCGCCTAACTTCGTCGCAATTAGAGCACCGCTCACTGGCTCGGTTGCAATTTCCTTCGAGTACGCGCGGTCGCGTGCGGAATGGCAAATTCCTGCCCGGTCCTCTGTTCCCCTAGACCTGTTCGACTACCGATCGGCCATTAATTCGACCGTCTCTACGTTCTCTCTACATTTTTACCGTCTTTCGATACCGCGTATCGACTCTATCGATTCAATGCCAGGAATGTCCACTTTTAAGACATATGAATACAACTTTTGGCCATCAAATTGGGATTAGAGGAAATTTTAGATGCTGTTTAATTTCCATTGCAGTAAACAAATAAACAAACATTTTTGTTGCCAAGATTCAGATCCGCGTAAAATAGAAAAGCTTCGAATGTTAATTAGTCAGTCAAAGACCACAAATCAAAAGTTAGTCGAAATTTCTTTTTCTACTCCTTTGTGCAAAGAAAAAAAAAGAATAATAATAATAATAATAATACGATACGTGAACGCGTCAACTCGAAGGAGTATTCCAATATAGTTAAACGATGCCGTAGCCGGTGCAACGTGGATTTACTGCATTATCTCAGTCTATTCGTGCTTCGTTACGCGACACGCTGTCGTCTCATTTCGTCGTAAGCGGGCAGGACAGCCATTAGGGACTTCCAACGGAATTCATTAACCGGCAGCTCCTCAAGAAATGAATTTTGTTTCGGAAAGTACCGGGAGCCGACGCTGTTCTCTCGGCGGCGCAAGTCAAAGCGCGATTCGTCGCAACGAACTTACGTTAAAATTAAATGGATCACCTCCTCGAGAACGTCCTGACGCGTCCTGCCAAATGGTGTCTCCGCTAGCTGGCAAATGGTCCTTAAAAGACACTCCCTGCCGTCTTGCCAACCGTATCTTCAACAGAGAATACGATTCGATTTTAATATCCGCTCTTTGTAAGCCCTCTCGCCTGCTCACAGAGTCTGACTCAAAAATAAGTGAATCTCCTTTTTTAACGAAACGCAAGTAATTGCTTACTCGAGATAAATAACTTTCGCTGCGCGATTACTCCTCCTCGTTATTTTGCGTTGAGAACGCTCGCCAGAGCTTTTCGAATATATCTGATACGTCATCGATAGAGGGATTTTCATGCAAGTTTATATTTCTGCAAACGCAGATATAGAAATTGAGCTTGAGCAAAGAGTTCCCTCGCCCGCTGAATATGACATCGAATTTAGATATTTTATATACTTTTGTGCATGCATACGTTCTGTACTTTGTTGGATTTTTAAATTTCAAATACACAGTGAGCAATAATACGACAGCTTGATTCGTTTCCTTTTGCAAAATGAGGCCGTGGTTATGTTGAAGTTGCGATGAGCGTAGAAATATGTTACGTTGTTTTCTAATAAATATGTTTACATCAGAAACGATTAATCTGTTTCAACGAAATTTTAGTGCTCGATTAAGTTTTCAATTTTACTCATTTTTTTTTTTTTATTCATTTATTTGAGCTTGAATGAAAATAATAATTATTATACAAAAATAAATTATTTAATTAATATTTAATTAATTAATTAATTTATTATTATTATTATTATTATATGCACGAACGATGAAAAATAAGGGAAGAATCAGTAGACTCCTACTGTATGAATTAATTATTTGTAACTTTATAAATTCATATAAATGGAGTTCCACTGCATTGCTATTTTTTCGTTATCGTTGTTCTCATCGACACGTTGATATGAATATAAACAAATCAATAAACAAAATGTTTATTAAATACTCTCAGAGCTGAGAAAGACATAAATTATTATAATAATTTTTTCATAAATAATTTAAGGATTGAAGTAATCGTTAAATTAAATATAACGTGTAAATATTCATTTATTCTACGTATCATTTTGCGAAAAATTTGAAGATGATAATAATTTCTTTTCAGCATTATTCGTGTTTAAATAGCTTATCTTGTCGTTGAAGTGAAACTGTCAGTTTAAGCTATTAGTGAATCTGCACGATTATCACAGCTACACTATAAGTACGACAAATGGATATACTTTTCAGTTCAATTTTCATCTTTATTTTGCTTTTATAGCTTCTACCACAGCTCACAACAATATAAACATACTAACAGCGAACGTGTGACAAAAACTATAATCACTTTAAATAATTCAACTTCTATTAAATCAGAATTGTTTCCTCACACCCTTTTCATGCTTCGGTTGTTTGGCAATCTCGTAGCATGCTAAATATTGGAATCAGCTTGAAAGGATCCGTTTTCTAAGATTCCTTGCCTCCAAATCTGACCACTCGACTGGCGCAATATCCATTTATTACAATATCCAAGTACAATATCCATTCTGTGGCAGCTAGACGTATGGTTGCTAAGACCATTCTCCTACTCAGAATTATCAATGGTCTTGTCGACTGCTCCCCAGCTCATCAGTCTTACTAACTTTCACACACCAACGTACTCCTCCAGATCTTCTTGCTTATTCTATCCACATCCTTTCTCTTTTGAATTCGGATACGATATATCCAATGGCAATATATTAAGAATATGCAATGTAGATAACAAGATAAGTAACAAAGTCGTCATATCTGTTTTCGAGAGTACAATTTACAAGTCTTTAATGAATTTGAATCTGCCTTCTATATAACGTTCCTTTTTCTTTTTTTTTCTCCCTCTTTTAAATAACACCGTATTATTTGAATTATCTGTTTCGTTGTCTGACCGCTAAACACTCTCCATTACGTTTTTTGAACAAGTTTCATTATTATCGCACATATAATTTTTTAGATGATACCTGTCTTATTATTATAATCATTGTATAAAAATCTTATGATATAATAATTGTAACGGTTTTATTATCGCAATAAATATTTTCATTTATTTGGATTAATATTTTGGAACAACCAAAGTCATGTATTCGTGACGCCGTGAAACTAAAGGTTATTATATTTGTCACACTCTATAGATATATGTTGTAATCATTGTAATCTCTATAGATATATGTTGTAATCGTAATCGTCGTAATTGTTGCATCTCACTTGCGCATTTGCATCTCAATTTATCCTGTTTAATTTTTAACGAAATAAATAAATCAGAAATTTGTCGCAAAGGAAATGAATCTTTCAATGACAATGAAATTTCTTTTCTTCCTCTTTGCTTATGTCTGAGACAAACCCTACATTTCTCCTTCCTCTCCCTATTCTCACGAACTCGTGCACACTCCATGTTTTTCCTGTTCTTACTCACCCCCCATTATTTCTCGCCACGTTTCCCATCTTTTTCGTAATTCGACCGCGGCGTACAGAGTAATTTTATTACGAAGTCGCACGGTGGCGAACGATGCAGCCACCGCGAGATGATATTGGTTTTATAAAGCGGTGAAAGGGAATTCTTAAGCATGTCCCGTACTTCCACGCCTTGTGTTCCTAGCCGAGAGAAATTCATTATCCTTCTTCCTCCATTTCCTAGCCGCCTGTTCGACGACACGACTCGAACGAAATTATGTTACCGCGCCCGAGGAACAGATGCAAATTTCGAATTAGTTTGAGCGTTCGTCGCGCGTTTACGCGTTAAACATTCATTTTAACCAGGAGTCTCGCGTTCTCGTCGCGAAACCCACGATTCTTTCTCGACGATGGCAGAAGCGGGAACAGTGTCAAGGCTGGTAATTAATGAAAGCGTTGCTTCCGCCCGCTGTTTCCAGACAATCGATAATGAACTTCTCGGCTAGACTGACCAGAAGCCTCGACAAATCCCATGAAAGAACCGCGACAGCTGATTCACCTCTATTGAGCCATCTAACGATCCATTCCACGCGACACCGCGTCCCCTTTTCAGTATCATTTCCAACACTTTCTTAACTTTCACGCCATCTTTCCAAAGCGAGATCGTTGTTCTCTACCCTTTCCTCTCTTCTTCCCTCTCTTTCTCTCTCTCTCTCTCTCAAGACAAAGTAATTGCCTTATGTCCCAATTAATTTACGTTCGAGTTGCCATCTTCATCTCACCCTCTCTCTAGCTCTTTGATCTTAGTATTCTAATTCACGCTCGCGCCCGTGTAAATGCCCCTTCTTGACCTGCCAAGTAATTGCGTTAAATACAATTACAGAGATTAATGTTTCTTTTCTGTTAGACATTGTTCAACTTTTCCAAAAAAATTTCCTTTTACCGCGTGCATTCGGCGCTTTGCACTTCGATCTCTTCTTGTTTAAATGTTCCAACAATTTTCTTCGGTACGAGCGTACGATGATCAGAAGGTGGACAGTGGGAAATTTCATGGTGTAAAAAATACGCGTGACATGTGAAAATAGGTAAAATGCCCGAAGCAGAGTGTTAACATGAATGAAGCAAATATTCACGCTTCGTTTCTTCAGTTACGTACACACGTGAAGATGTAAAAGTTCATCAAGATCAAAAATCTGCAGTCTAATAATTATTAAATACTATGAATCGAAAATTTTATATTACATTTATATTGTATTATATTAAACTTGTATTATATTATATTATAATATATTGAGCTTGTGTTATGTTATATTGTATTATATTAAATTTATATTATATTATATTGTACCAAATTTATATCACACTTTAAATTTTATAAGATTCTGTTCCTCAAGTATAAGCGTATACCTCGTAATACCTTTGAATTTGACCGAAAACTCTTTCCTAGGGTTGTATCTTTCATTCTAACGCCAGGCATTTCCAGTGAAAAACGTGCGTAAATAAAATTATAATCGCTCTAATAAAACTCACGTGCCTTGAAATGTCAGACATACACGACGAAGCTTCATTTCCCTGCCTGTTTCGCGCAATTACGCGGCCATTGTGCGTGCCATCGGTGATAAACACGAATGTGGCGGATCACGGCTGGATGATTCTCGACTAGAAAATGGAATTTCATTAACCGTCCGCGGGAAACGGTCTCGATTCCGATCCCGGTGTCGAGTTAATTACAAATTTATTCGTTCGCTTCGAGCGTGTTTGCCGATTCATCGAGCAATTTCGAACGGCAACGCGGACCGCTTATTCTTCCCGGGAACTGGATGTTTGGATCCGTCATTGGTTCCATGATTCTGAACGATCTCGGACCGGCTCGCCCGCTGAATTTCCACCCGTTTTACAACTGACCCCGTTTTCCCTCCCCCCGCAGCATATGGAAATCGCAGAAATGCCCTCACCGATTCAATAAATTTTCGATGGCCGCGTAAGTGTCCTGCAGATTCAAGCCCCTCGACTGCCTGGCCGGTATTATTGTAGGCTCGAGCTCCGACAAGTTCGACGGAAGTTTATAATTGAATTGGAATGCCGACGAGAACACCACGCTACCCCTTTTGTTCATGGAAACTGGAACCGAGGCGCCGATCGTGAACTGAAAAGTAGAACGAGGAAAAGAGTGATTAGAAGAAGGGTACGATCGGCTTCTTGGGGAACGACGTTCGTACGAGCGAGAGATTAGTAAACTTATTTTTAGTTTAGAAAGATGTCACACGTCGCAGAGTCCTGAAGAAACTGCATACGTGGGAAACGCGATGACGCACCGAGAAAAAATTTGAATGGGTTTAACACATATAAAGTGCTCTATATATGCTGTTATTTTCTCTTCTCGTTTGAAAGATATGGAGCTAGATCTATTCTCTCAATTATACTACTCGTCACGTATAATAATTCTGTCACTCTCGCAATAAATACTACATTGACAGTAGTAATAAACACAGCGACTCCCATTAATGCTAGAGCACTAAATATCTAGTTAATTAAATGTTTCGTTGTAATTTTGCAAAACAACAAACCTTTTATTTCAGTAAAAAACTCGAAACCTTTACTTTCGTTCATTTTATTCTGAAATGATTTTACGTCACATAGTGGATAGATATAATGAAGATACTTTTCTTCTCGAAACTGTTATAAATTGTCACAGCATGTAAGAATATTGAAGAAATTTTTTTCGCGACTGAATCTACAATAGATTCGAATATTGAAGCCTCTTCTTTCCAATGATCCTCGAAAACTCGATGTCTGATCTTTCTTTGTTATTTTATTGAACTTTGGATACGTAATATTGGACATGATGTTTGTAAAATAAATAGTTACGTAACTTTAAAATGAAAGACGTTATAAATGTTGTATCTTCGTGGTACAATAACCAGCGTTCGAATTTAACTAGCGTAAAAGAAAGTTCCTAATTTTCTGCAAATTTCCTTTCTCAATATTTCAAAATACGTATATAAAAAATACTTTTCGAAGTCGTGAAAAATTTAAGAACGAAATGTTCCAAATGTATCAGGAACTGAATTATTATAAAGATGTCTCAATAAAAATCTTCTGCAGTTTTTAATATCGACAAAAATTCTCAATAAGAAATTGTGAATTAGGGAAAAAATTGGTTTGTAAATACTCGATGACAACGTAGTAAACCACGCGCGGCAAATCTCAATCTCGGTGTAGCTAGACGTTTGCTCGATTTTTCGCGAGTTCGGTGATGTAACTGTCAAGTACGCTTTCTATGAAAAGTGCATCCTTCAGAAAGGAAACATTCAGAAAACCAACACGACGGAGCAACAAATCCAAAGGATGCGGCAAAATGGATCTTGTCATGGAACGTTGGAAAGAAGAATTTCTTAAAAATAGCAGATTCAAATTCAAAAAATATGTTTTCAAGTGATTTCACGTTGGAATACATCCACGCTCCTAATCTAGATTTGTAATCGTCAAGTGTAAACCATCGAGCGACGATTCCCAACCTTTTTCACCTTACGCTTGCCACATAATAAATCGAGTCAGTGAAAGTAAGAAACTAATCTAGATATTATTATAATAATTCGATCAAAAGAAGAAATGAGTTTCGAATGATCCTAAAGAAACGTAGAAGAAAAAATAAATAAATCTCTTTCTTCCATCCAAGACACGTCCTTCTGAAAACCATTTAAACTGTGCTAAAAACAATTGCCACGACGTGAAAAATAGAGGAGACATTTAATTTAGGAGGCTTCAGCTGGAACACACTGCGAGATGAATAGACGAGAAGAAAGGAATACCATTAGTATTAAACATTGAACAACCAATCGTTTGAAACTTTATCAAATACTAAATAACCGTTTCGAGGGAACAGTTAAAAGATGATCTCCTCTCAGTTCGTTTATTTAAAAGCATACCGGTGCAGTTTCACCGCCACGGGAAAGCTACAAACACGCCCTTTGAACTACTTTTTTCGAGAGATTGTTTATTCAAACGTTCCTCTTATTAAGGACGAATCAGCCTCCTTTCTACGTTGGCTGTCGCATCAATAAGTGAAGGACCTACCCTTTCCAAGTGTCTTACCCGGAAAACATTAAGAATTCACTGCAAACAAAGGCGCAATCTAATTAGAGGGGAACTCGCGAACGAGTGCTCATTATCCTAGGCTTGATAAATTTTGCGGGCTGTCTAAGTAGATAAGAGGCTCACGGTTACACAAGGTAGGTTTATCCTTGATCGCGTGCCCGCCAGCGAACGTTTCAAAAATTTCAATTCGAGGAATTTTCAATTCGTGGGAAACGATGCTGTGATCTCGTTCGAGTTATTCAGGCTCCGACGGAATTTCAGCGATTTAAATATAAGGAATTTGTGACCTTTGCGCGAAGTGGATCGCAAGTAGCGCTAATACTATAACCGGAATGGGGGTGATTTTATATGAAAGAACGAGCGAAGAAGTTTTTCGTCTGAGTTTGAAAATTTGCGAGACACGCGATACTGTTTTGTGTTACGTGTTTCTCGTTCATAAAGTTAAAAGTGATGTTACGCCCGTTCGAACAATTTTATTATGTGCAATATTGTCTTCGTCGACTTTTGAGCGAGAAAATACGTGTCATTTTTAATTTTGTCTGTATATTAATTCCTTTTCTTTTTAGATGCCAAATAACCTGATATTACAATTTAGGTTCAAGTAACTCGAAAGACGCTTGAAGATTTAGCATATAATACGTAATAATTACCTGGAGCAACGACTTCTCGGGATAAAGAAGGCTACTTTCGCTTCTCCAGACGAGGAGACATATTGTCGCAGTTTCCAACAGAAATAAACGGGACATGTTAATTCCAAAATACTTGAAATAACACTGAAATTAATGGTTTTCTAGTCACTGGTCAACGAACTAACGGCGAATGGAGCACGCGTTCTCTCGCGCCTCGACAAACTTATGGCAACGCGATAATGAACGCTGGAATTCACAATGGGAGACCGGAGAACCGGTATTTGCGTTTAACGAACTTGCGTTTGCAACTCGCGATTATCGTCCAGTGAAAAACGGACCTCGAATATCCGAATTATCAGTCGATGTTTGAAGAAATAAACAGCATTGGTAGTTACTTTGAAAATGCAAAAGTCTCTGTTTCACAGGATTCACTAGGTAACCGATAACCATCCACGACGAGATGAAAATTTCACGGTAGTACCAGCTAAGAATAATGAAACGTTCGAACATTTTATAATCGAATTGACGATTCGAGGGAAGAACAGTGAGCCAACGAAAATTAGCCATTTTCAAAAGATATTAAAATTAAAATGTAAATGTGAAACAAACACTTTGCCAATACTCTATTCGAACCAGACAATTAAATGAGTGTCCGGTATAATAGATCATCTTCTCCCCCACTCACAAACTGCTTTCGATTTGGATTGTTAAATTTTGATAATAAGTTTTTCATCAAACAATTTTCACTTCAATTACGTTTAAATCGCTTTGTATAAATATCATTTTGTTTCATTCCCCGATTAAGAACAATGGTATTCGGTGTTTAAGAATAATGCAAATTTAATAATTTTATAATATCCTATATAATATATTATAATATAATATAATATAATATCATTCTGCTTCATTCTACTTCCTGATTAAGAACAATGATATTCGGTGTTCAAGAATAATGCAAATTTGATAATTTTATTCCAATAGTTGTAAAAAAAAAAGAAAGAAACTCGTATACACAGAGTTTAAGCATAGGTACAACAGGTTCATCCGGTTTAATTTTGAAATTGAAACAGAGAATGACAAAAGTAATGGTGTTGACGAAAGCACAAAAGCTACAACTGTCCTATCAAATATCTCTCGAAACATAGTTTCCAATCGCGCGCTGTTTTTCAAACTTAAAAATTATTAAATTCATTTGCGACACGTACGATGAAATTGTTGAGCTCTCCGTTCGGAAAACAGCGAAAATCATTGGCCGATACGAGTAGGCGCGAGGAAGGAAACGAGCAAAATTTCTGCTCGCTCTCAGTCGTTTCAAGCATCGTCGATCGCGTCGAATCGTAAAGGCAGCAGCACCAACACAAACGCGTTTCATCCGAGTATTCAGCCGGCTGCTTGGAAAACCGACGCGCGATTCATCGGCATATCAGCTTAACCCCTGCCAGCGATAGCGTTGTAAATCCAATAATTGCCCGAGCCCCGGCCGTTAAGCAGCTTTAATTAATTCCGTTTCAAACGCGGCGCGATTAACGACCGAAGTTGAATTAAAATCTCATCCGAGGATACGAGATCCAAACTCTCTCCTCCTCTCTCTTTCTCTCTCTCTTCACGCCGTTTACCTCAGACGAAATTCCTCTCTGTCAAATTATGCATCTCGTAATTTGTTATTGCCACGTTTGTTCCAAGACGTGAAATTGAGAAACGATCGGCAGGCTTTTGTTGCACTTTCTCCTCCTCCAGATTAAATTAAAATATTTATATTTGTTTTACACATCCCATTATAACATTTTGTTGTTCTGCTGTGAATATCGAGATGCGTGGAAATGTTTTTGATGTACAACAGAGCGCAGAGTCTCTGAATATCAATCAAGTGGAAATGTCTTATTTTCGGAAAAATAAATAATTCTGTTTCTCTGTTTTTCTATTATCGGTAATTTGGTAATATTGCTAGTCTGTATCTCATTTTTGTGTCATTTAACAGCATCTGATTTTTATATTGTTTTATTAGCTTTTAAATTATAGTTTAAGCTTGTGTTTGTACGAGTGCAATATTTCTTGCATTAGAGGATGAGATGTAACATGGCGCTGTATAATTCACAAGACGGAGAAGAATTCTAGAAATTAACACTCGATCATGTCTCCTTCGTGGAATTAATTTCATAAAAGTCGTCGCCAATTGATAGTAAATACAGATTTTTTTTAAAAAGCTTCTATTCTTCATCACCAGTTCATTTTAAAACGAAATAACATATTTACTCTTTTAATTAAAATGTTTTTATCCATCACTTCGATCATTCTTTTTCGTAAAAAGAAAAACAATCCGTGTAATATAATTTTGCTCAAAATACAAAGATTCGATCAAATATCTCAACGTATCTTGGAAAATGAAAAAATATCGGATGAAATCAAATGAAAAAGGCAAATGCGGTGTTCAAACGTGGACTGATACTAATACGATAGATTAATTAAGTACTTTCTCAATCCTTCTATTTTCACACTCTTTAACTCATATTAACGTTTAATAATAACAATTTTCTACAAGAAATAACAAGTGTCCTCTTCTCGCCAATCTTTTTACTACCCTTATTTTCCCCCTTTTCGCTTCTTATTTTTCGAGCTCCACGGAAAGTTCTCGGGAAATACGAGACGAGATGCAAGCTCTCGTTCGTATGGACATTCATGAGCGATCTTTTGCGAAAAAATCTGCTTCGGGGAAACGAGTCAAAGGTATGACATGACATAACGCGCACTGTCTACGTTCGTGCATAAAACACGCAAGAGACGACGAGAGATCAAGACCCGATTCGTGCTCGTATTTTGTTTCACTCTCGCCCCTTCAATTTTCTATTCGGTTGTGATGATCTTTGATTCACACTGCAAATGAATTCCGTATGTGTTGGCGTCTGCTGTTAATTAACTTGTCAATTACAGCCGTTAAAAAAATATCGGAATATTTAGTTTTGGCAGCTTGTAACTTATTTACGAATCGTATGTAGAAGTGATGCGATTACATTCCGTATTATAATTTTGTCGATATCATTATTATTACATACCGAATAAATTAACACATATATTACGTACATTTACATTAGATAGTTATTTGGATAATAACTCCGATTTCTTTCAATAAATTTTCTATTCATTCCCTTTCAGGATGATAAAATTGACTTGAAATAACTATGCAACAAAATATTAACACGTACAATAGTAAAACAAATTACAATACAATGTTTCGACAAAATTTGTAACAAAATGTTCTGAAACAGTTTCTTATCTTCAAACTGTTCATTATATATACATATCTGCAATATATGCGAGATATAATGAGATATGATCGCATCAAATTTTAGAAAGAACAAAGAATTTTACATAAAGAACAGATGAGGTTTGATACAATAATATTTGTACGCAAATAATTAAAATTTCTTATTTCTTTGTATTTTATAAAAAGCTGACAACTACCAATCAAGTAATTTCTAAACCTATTAGTACTAATAAAAATATTAACAACGCTAATATCTTTATGACATTTTGTTGCAACAATATTCTTGTACGAGTAATTAAAATTTATTTTACGAAATGATGATAAGCATTGCCTTGTAAAACAAACTTTCTTGTAAACTTGTTACTATCATTCATTAATACTATAGTAACATTTCTACCTTGTAACGTGCAAAATTTCACCTACAATATTAGTTCGATCGTTCAATGATACCCAGGTATTGAAATACTGACAGACAGATGATCATTTGCCATTTCAACTCTCAGAAAGAAAATTCCCTCACAAGCGAGAATTGTCGCGAGGAAAGTGGACGAAACGGTTCGTAACATCGAAGAAAGGGATTCGAGAACGAATCGTTTTCACCGTTCGTTTAACAGAGAGTAACGATATTTCCATCAACTGCGAGCAGTTACCCTCCCCCTACTCACGATGAAATTAAACGTGGCAGGGTAGCGGCGGCGAATTTCAATTTACCCATCGAATTTTCCGTGGAATCGAGCGTGACCGTTTCAAACGACGCGTGCAATCGCGTGTCGGGCCGCGAGACGGGAACAAAAAGCACGGACGGAAGAAAAGAGGAGCGGAAATAAACAATGGCAGAGGCGCGACGAGAGGAAGGTAGGAAGTCGCTCGGAAAGATAAAAAAAAAAAAAAGAAGAAGAAGAAAGGAGAGGAGAGAGATAGAGAGAGAGAGAGAGAGAGAGAGGTCCAGGATTTTTTCTAGGCGAGGTCCATTCTCGGAAGGATCGATAACGCGCAACGCGCCGCGCCTTCTCGCAGTCGCTTCGCGAGAGTTTTCCCCGAAAAAGCACGCGTCTCGCGCGAGCCTCTTTTTTTTTTTTTTTTTCTTTCTTTGGCAGTGGGAGTGAGTTTTGACTTCGACTGGCTTATTTTACGGGCACGTGGCTCGTAAAGAACGCGGCGACGACCGAGAGAGGCAATAAAAGCGCCAGCTTATGACGAGAATAATACGTCGATGTCAGGGAAAATGGCAAAAACGACGGCATTTGTCTTCATTTCATCGCGACACGCTTGTTCGCTCGTCCCTTTCAATTACACCTGTTCCACGGGGACGCGAAGGAATTGCTGGTTCCCTGCACATTCCCGTATACACCGTTCTTTATTAATTTTAATTCTGCGAAGGAGAACGAAGAGGGAAAGTCTCAGTGAGATGAAAGAGATAAGAAAAGAAACGATTTCGTTTCGATTTCGTTTCGTTTTCGTTTCTGTCGACTATGCGAGCCGATTTTCTTTTTTCTTTCTTGGTGCTAAAGATATAAATCGGCGTAATTTTAGTACGATAAAGTAAACAAAAGGAGCGACAAAGCCCCGTTACTTTCTCCTAAAATTCTCCGAAAACTGGGACAGAGACTTGTATGGAATGTGATTCGAAAAACAAAAAGGCCATTCAGTATTTTACTTTCAAATTTGTGTCTTTGCTCTGTCAACCTAGAGTTAAGCCTCAGTTACACTCTGGAACCACTCTTTCGATCGTAACCCTTCGATAATTTCTTACGAGTAACTCTAGATTTTTCGACTTAGTCGTTAAAGGATCATTGCAAAGATCTTTATACGAACCTTCGAGCTA